ACATAGTGATACATGCTTTGTCAATGCTCGACACTTGTTTCTGTGTTGCAGTTGGCTTAAGTCTAGTGCTTCACAGCAGGGACGCTGTGGCGGTAGTTAGGCAACAAAACTACTTGATGAACTTTACTTAAGTATAAGTTAAATTACTGGTAAGAAAATCTACTCAAGTGAAAAGTTAAAAATTACTCAGAGTAAAAGTTACTTACTAATTTATTTATATTGATTTAATATCTTAGTTATACGTATTACACTTATTTAATTGCAATCTCTTGGGATTTGATTAGGGAACAAAGCCATATGCCGCTTTCAATTTTAGTTTGTTTGACGGATACTTTGCCAAATCAGTGGCGAAAAACAACGTTAGAGACAGTTTATGTTATAATGAGAAGTTTGAGAATATTTTCGCTTCATTAGGAAACTGTGGCCGAACAGATTAGACTTTGGCGGGCCGCACTGGGGCGGCTGTGGCTCAGGAGTTAGAGCGGGTTGACCGTTAATCGGAAGGTCGGCGGTTCAATCCCTGGCTCCCCCTGGTTGCGTGTCGAAGTGTCCTTGGGCAAGATACTGAACCCCGAATTGCCCCTGGCGGCTATTCCGCCAGTGTACGAGTGAGTGTGAATGTTAGTTTCCGTTTGAGCACTTAGGCTCAGTGTATAAATGTGTGTGACTGGTGAATGCAGATGTAGTGTAAAAGCGCTTTGAGTGGTCGAAAAGACTAGAAAGGCGCTATACAAGTACGGAGCATTTACATTTCATGGACTGGGAAAATGGGAAACACTGGACTGTATGAAGTCATATCCCTATTTACATTCAAACAGGTGGTCATTTTAATGGGATATCATAAGCATTAGTAGAATAAATAACTAGTTACCAGCAGGTTGCTAATGCCAACCAACATTGTCATGCAGCGATGTCTTTTTGGCTATTAGGAGTGTGGTGTCCGAACAATAATGCTGCGATGATGTGTTGAGAAGAAATCCGCTTGACACTGTTCTTGATCATAAAAGTTTATTACATCAAGGAGTTCAGCATCAATTACAAGCTCTGCAGCAGCTTGGAGAGTGACCCAGCCTGATGGCCACTCTGTCTCTCTGTACATCAAACACAGCTTATATAGGACATGTTTAGGTATCTGTTAGGTACCATAGAGGGGTTTGAGTCTGCAAAATAAAAGGTCAAACCCATAGAAGGGTACAGTACTATTCTGAGGTAACAAAACAAGGGGTTGGAGGTCAAATTCTATAGAAGGGTTCAGTCCCTACATAACCACCAATCACTGCTCTCCCTGTAGAAGGTCACTGACCCTCTGTCCTGCTGCTACAGTGCTATTTTGAACTGTTATGAGTCAAATACATAAATATTGGATACCACAGGAGCAAAGCATCTTGACTTTAAAGCCCCTTCACAGTCCATTGTGGAGACTGATGCACATGAGTGTCCACATTTGATCTTGGATGATTTTCACTGCACTAGCTTTCTCATGAAAGCAAAATAAACTATGAAAACTTCTTTTTAACCACCAATGGAAGTAGGCTATTATTTAACTGACCTCTGCATCAGGGGTCCTCAGCTACATTAGTTCTAAGCAGACACTGTGGGGGCTGGACTTTCAATTGCCATATTACTGTTTAATATTTTCAACTTTAGCAAAATGAACGTTTTTATTAGCTTATATCAGTGTGAACAGACTCCTTAAAAACATGGTAGGCCTAAATCCATAATGATAAATCTACATAGGCTATACTAAACAGGCCTACTTAACTAGAAAATGCGCAGCCAAGGAGTTCACTGAGGAATGATGGTTAAAATCTGTAATTGTAAATGTAAGTCTGATTTAATCAACCGGTTTTGGCGCTATTATGCAGCTGCCCGTTATTGTGCATGAGACACCTATAGTGACTGGTGGTAACAGCAGATGCCTTTTGATACCACAGGGCACAGACGTCTGGGCCAGCTAAACAAACTACTGTCAGGCAGTTATAGGTATTTTCCATAATTATGTGAGCAGTCATGATCTGACTTTATGCTGCACACAGCTGCAAACAGCGAAAGTGAAAGGAGTTGGTTACCTGGCTGAGAAGGTGTAGGTGTGCAGCCTGTCTGCATGCAGCTCGTTATCTAACAGCTCTCTGTGTCTGCTGCTGACTGTTGTATTACTCACTGCAATATTTCAAACTGGTCCGCTGTCAGTAAACTGCTGAAAATGACGGTTGTCTTGTTGTGTAGCCGCACTTTGCATCACTGTGGCCTCACAGCAAGAAGGTCTCGTGTTCGAACCCTAGTTGTCCTGGCCTTTCTGTGTTGCATATTGTCCCCGTGTTTGTGTGGGTTTCCTCTGGGTGCTACGGTTTCCCCAACCATCAAAAACATGTTAGGTAGGTCAGTGTCATTTGACCACTGCATTTCAATATGGAGTTGGCCCCTGGGCTGTACAGCGGCTGCCCACTGCTCCCTTATGGATGGGTTAAATGCAGACGATGAATCTCGCTACATGAATGTGTAAATACGTCGACTCGCATTACGTGCGTCAAAGAGTCGCTGCATCCAGTGTCAGTGTTAGTGGGATTCCCCTGGACAACTCGACTTCTACCCTCGGCACTGTGTAAATTTAACCAGCGCCGCTGAAAAAGCTTATTAGGAGTTGGCTGTTCACTTTCTCTGGTGAGTACATTTAGTTTTAAGACTGTTGTTCGCTAGACAAAGTTATCAGCCCTGTTAAAATGACAGTTAACGTGAGTTACAGTTGCACTTAGCTAAGCAAGCTAGCTAGCTCCGCACACGGCCGTTAGCTCCACCGTATCGTCACTTCCGGGCACTTCCTGGTTGCAAAAACTCGACATGGCAGCGACCTATCAGCCAAACTCGAGGCTTCAAAATGGCAGTCCACAAACCAACGGGTGACGTCCATTTCTTATATGCAGTCTATGCTCCAGCTACAAGGCCGCACCTTCAACCGCCTAAAGCCTTTCTTTGATATTTATTTTGGATATACAAAATTAGTCATTAGATTTATCGACTTGAAAAATAATCATTATGTACAGCCCTAATCATCACTAATGTTAGTCAAGTAACGTACTATATAAACCTAACATATTGCATAAGTTGATATTTACCAGAGCCACAGGACAGTTACTTCTTAAACAACTTTTTGTCATGTTTGTGTCATCTGTGCAACATTAACTTACTTAGTCTCGTGCTTAACTACTTTATACCAATGTTTTCACACCTACGCAACACAGTGGGTTGGGGTGGGGCAAGTCTGATCAGGGCCAAGTGCAACTATATATATAATTCAAAACATATATACACATATTTAGGGCTGTGGCTCAGGGAGTAGAGTGGTCGTCCACTTACTAAAAAGTCAGTGGTTCAATCCCCGGCTCCCCCAGTCTGCATGTCGAAGTGTCCTTGGGCAAGACACTGAACCCCAAATTACTGGGGACTGTATAATTTCTGTTTCTGGTGAGTGGTTGCCAATTTAGCCTCTGCTCATCAGTGTATGAATGTGGGTGAATATGATGTAGTCGAAAAGACTAGAAAGGGCACTATACAAGTACAGACTATTCACCATATGTACACATAAGTGAAACATTGACAATATACAACACTCCAAAGCACACATTTTTAGCACAATATAACCACAGTGCTTTTACCTAGTGAGGATTTGTCTGGCTTTTAGTCATACCAGACACCAGACTCTGCATGTCATGCAGCACTGGGTACATTTTCATCTACCTGTGCAATGAAGACCTTGATGTTATAGGTGACATTCAATTAGTAGCAGAGAAAGCAGGTCAGATCCCCCTGTGAAGACACCACCTGGCTGCCTCCTACGGTCACTGGCACACACACACACACACACACACACACACACACACACACACACACACACACACACACACACACACACACACACACACACACACACACACACACACACACACACACACACACGCGCACACACACACACATACATACAGAAAGAGTTACAATGTGTTGCTTGATTAACCTCTGTATACAGTAGGTGAGCTGCTGTTTGAGATCCACCACTTTACAATTATAGAATGCTCTGTATAACATGATGTCTGTATAATAGCTATTAAGCAACCTTTTTATGTCTGCACAATGTATTCAAAGGAAAATGGTCGATGTTTTGGGCATGGTAAATGAATGATGGTGTATTTATCGCACTGTACGAACCTTGAAACTGCTTGCTGTTTTCTGCTGGCCTTAAAGCCCCAGCCAGACAGACAGTCCTTTTTTAAATATCTTTATTAAGAATTCAATTTACAGTCAGTTTTTCAAACTCAACCTCATCAGTTTCATTTTTAAAATGTGGAGTTGACTTAGAGAATTTAACTTTGAGAATATGAAATTTCCCTAATAAAATAAAAAGATTTACAATAGGCTACATAAATTCTAATCTTGCATGTGTTGTTTTAGAAAGTAGGCTATGTAATTCTCTTAGTCCAGAATGTGATACAGTCATTGAAAAGACGAGTTAAAAGTTCTTGTTCTGTTTTAAAAGGTGTAATTGTTATCAACAAGCAGCATGATCTTCGAGATAAAGACGTTGGTTATGAGACGCACAAATGTCTATTTTCCTTATTCAACAGAAGCGTTCTCCAACGCACCGCGGTTTGATTGGCCTGTGTTCTTTGCGTTTGGGACATGATTGGTTGAGTAGGGCGATGCCTCACGGAACGTGGCCACACCACAGCGCGGCACGTCCAGATCCACTTCACTTTCCCCGCGTCAAGCCAGAAAGAAGCAGGCGGCGTGAGGGGAGAAGTGCGCGGCCTGAAAGATCACAGCACATCTACAGCCGTGCTGTAGGGAGAACATTTTAGAAAAACACGTTTTAAAGCTGATTCTGATTCTGTGGAGAACTCCCTACATGTTAGCAGGTGTCCCTGTCTCCTCAACACGATGCCTTTTGTGCAAACTGTTGGGCAATAAAGATTTTACTTTGAAAATTACTACCGGAACTATCACACTTGTACTGGAACATGAATGAAACTTGACAGTGATGGTGATGAGCAACTTTTGCTGAGATAGCGTTTACGGAACAAGTAGTTAATGACGCCGCTGTCACCTGAGTCCGAACGAGCTCCCGTCCGCTGCCAACCAGGTGGGAGTCATCCAGGTAAGACCCGCAGCCCCGGCATGCAGATCTACGGACCACCAGACCTCGCTGCGAATGCAGGAGTTTTGGTCTTGCGTACTGGCCAAAGACAGTAAAGTGGATCACCCGTCATTCTTCTTGACCAATGTACACAAATGGGGGCTTGCATGCAATGTTAAATACTTAATACTAAATACCCGCACGTTCATCAAGTCGTCAAGTGCCCCAGGTAATTTCCTGAAGAGAAAACATGACGCGTAACGCTGACTGGTGTTTTATACCCAGAGTTACCTTTGCAATGGAGTAACTGTGGCTGATCTGTCGGGGAAGATAAAGTGTGAACGTGTGTGTGGCAATGCAGGCCACTCTGTTAGGGAACACCATGCAGGATCTGGTGTACACATGGAGCCTAGATCCATTTCACAGTAATTAAAGTAGTTGATGTATAGGCCTAAGTGGGTGTCCTGTTTTAGTTTGGTACATCCTGTGAACTAAGAAGTCTTCATAGATTAATCCAGTTTAATTACCATGTAAATTAAAAACTGCAGATCACTTGGACTGCTTTGACAGGGGACTGTCAGCTACACCAGACATAGCCTACTTGTTTATATATTATAGGCATAGACCGTACTATCTTTACTGAAGTCCTGTACATAAGTACAAATTAGAGGTCTTTGAACTTTACATGAGTATTTTCTTTTCATGGGGCGGCTGTGGCTCAGGAGATAGAGAAGGTTGGCGGTTCAATCCTCAACTCCTCCAGGCTGCAAGTCGAAGTGTCCTTGGGCAAGATACTGAACCCCGAATTGCTGTTCCGCCAGTGTGTGAATGTATCCCAATTATAGAATGCTCTGTATAACATGATGTCTGTATAATAGTTATTAAGCAAGCTTTTTATTAATAATATTATGTTTGTGAATGTTCTGTTTGAGCACTTAGGCTCAGTGTATGAATGTGAGTGAATGGTGAATGCAGATGTAGTGTAAAAGTGCTTTGACTGGTGGAGCCTAGAAAGGCGCTATACAAATACAAAGCATTTACATGCCATTTTCTACTCCCAATAGGCTACATCTCAGAGGGAACTTCACTACATTTATCTGACAGCTTCAGTTACTAGTTACTTTACAAATTAAGATTTTCACACACAAAACATATGAAGAGTTCAAGAAAATAAGTTTATACAGTACAGCTGAAACAATTACTTGATTGACAGATATTTTATTTTATTTTTTCATGTAAAAACATTTCATGGTTCCATCTTCACAAATGTGAAGATTTGCTGCTTATTCTTTTAATGTATATTTCATAATTTTGAGGCATTTTCAATGCAGTACTTTTACTTGAAATAGAGTATTTTACAGCGAGGTACTTAAGTACAGGATCAGAATACCTCATCCTCGACAGGGCCTAACTGCTCTTGTCCAAAGCAACTTGCAGTAATTCAGTATTCAACCTGCATGGAACAAGAGCTGGATGAGTCGCTGTTAAGTCTCGCAGTCTTCAATTATTTGTTTTTCCTAACTTCCGCCTTTATGATTAGGTCCAACCTTTACTCCAGCCAATCACTGCCTATACGTTGGCGTGAGGTGGTTGTTTCATTGGCTGCAAAGAGGAACACCAAATGCATGCTGCAGTTGATAAATATCACATTACACATAATAACTTGGAACAAACTTCCAAGTGCTAGTACATGTAAGTCACATTGTGAAGACAGGAAGCTTGTGTTTTTATACTCTTAAGGGGAATTCTGTAAGCTGAAATACCTTCAGATTTCTTACAGTGCAGTACCCAACATAAACATCATAAAGACCTGATCAGATCATAAAGATTGTACTGTCTTCCCTACTGAAGACATTAAAAGCCCTAAACAACCAGGGTCCACCCACAGGCAATTTCCCTTCTTTGCCTAATGTCAGGACTGTGTGGATGTGTGCACACTGTTTGATTGACATCTCCCCAACTCTCCTGTTTTATTACACCTACACTTCATAGGATGGTACAGTTTACACCTTTACCGTGAGCACAGAAACAAAGGGCTCTCATGGAATGTTCAGGTTTATGTTCTGACCACCAGTTTGAATTACTTACGATTTGCTACGGAGAGGATGCCAGTCGGAGGCACATATCAGAGCACTCGCTCATTCTGACGTCTAGTTGCTGAATTTATCCGGAATTGACCCAGAATCCTAAAAATCCCCCAAATCAGTTTTCTTAATCATTTGATCTTCAGCTTCCACCCACTTGTTTTTTTTAGTGAATTGCTCTCTGAGTTAAAGTTGCCTTCAGTTTTTATGTCCACAGGCTTCTTGTACCTTTTGACTTTTTATCAAGAAGAACCACATCATTGTTTGTACTGATGTTTCAACCAGGAAAGCTTTGTGCTGATCCAAGCCATTGAAGTGTTCCACCTGTGACTTCCACAACACCGTCTATGGCAGGAGTCTGCAACATGCGGGTCTTTAGCCCCTCTCTAGTGGCTCCCTCTAGCATAGACATTGAATACAAATTATATTAATACTTTGTCAACTAAAATGTGTGTCATCATGCTACATCCTGGCACCTAAGTCTTTAGCAGTGTCTTGAGTGGTTAGCGTGTTCTCCTCAGATAGCTATGTATTCAAAATCCAAAAATAGAAAAATCTCAGGGGAAAACAGAATTTAATTGTAGGTGGATAGATTTGGATGCCTTCACCGCCGATGGCTTACCAGAATGTTTGATCTACGGTACTTGATTACTTTCATAATTGCACCAAAACATTGCATTAGAAATGCAAAGTTTAGTAAAGTAGCCAAATAATCATAAATAGTAGAGCCCGACTGATTTATTGTTTTGCAGACATTATCAGCTGATATGAGCTAATTGCAGATATATCTTCATCAGCCGATTTATGACTATTAAAAAAGAAGAGTCGGATTCTTCACTCATGTAATGAGTATTGCAAAGTTTGTCCACCAGAGGGTGCGCAGCAGCTCCTCTGTTAACAACACTGTGCACCACAGAACAAAACATCAGCTGACCAGAGTCTACAGGAGCCACAGAGAGTAGCTCCTGGTAGCTCTCACACTCAGTGTTCACAAAGAGTTGGTCATTTGTCACGTCAATATCATGACTTGGATAATAATAAAAATAGCCCTCATTATTTTCCTCTTACCATACCAGACTTCCTAACCCTCCCATTTTTCAATGCCTTCTCCAGGCTGAGTGGTGGAGGTTACGCTGCTGACAGACGTGATTGTAGATTTATTTCTGAAATAGTTCTAGCGAGTTGTCAAAATATATCTGTGAGCCGCTTGTCATTACAGTCGGTACTTCGGAAACGAGAGTGGACATGTAAAGGCTGACTACACAACTTTCAGCGTCGGCCGATCGCCGTGCCGTTCACACTACACAACTTGCCATCTTGTGACGGGAGTCTTGAAGTCGTTGTGGCATTCACACTACGTGACTGATCAGTGACAGGAGGTCACACACTACATGGGCTGGTCTCCAAACCACATTTTGTCAAGAAACACACTGGAAATGTGAAACGGGAAATGAGCGATCCTGCACACGAAACAGCTGTTGTTTGTTATTATAGACCAAATGATTATATGTAAGGTAATAACTATTTAATGACAAAAAAAATATATATATTTTTTTGCCTATGTAGGAGAGCCCTGTTTAAGATTATTATTATTATTATAGCAATGACATGAGATATGATATGTGGTATTATTATTATTGTTGTTATTATTAGTAGTAGTAGTAGTAGTGGTAGTTCTAGTTGTAGTTGTAGTAGTAGTATATTGGCAATTCCTGTTTCGTTTTATAATTATAATATTATAATAATTATGATATATTTATAACAAATCAGATATTTGTAAAATGTTTTCTGTAGTTTTATACATTAAACTTTTATTTATCAAAACTTCAATATATTTTGTTGTACTTTTGTTCAAAGTACTATTTATAACAATAAAAAAGTATCTTTTTAAACTGCATTATGTCATGGTATCTTGGTGAGGTCTCAACATAACAAATATTAGGGCGTTATGTATGTATGATTATGTTATGCATTTCTTAAAATAAGGGGAAAAAAGAATATCAGATTTTAAAATCCTCAAATATCGAAATGAGCATCGGACTTAAAAATTCCATATCGGTCGGGCTCTAATAAATAGCCTGCAGGCTTACTGCAGCTACCTTGTGGTAAAAATGAATGAAATACAAATGAATGTCCATTTACACCGATTAGTAACGTTGATATCCTCATTGAGACTAATAGGCTGTGGTATATGGAGGGATTATTTGGTCAGAACTCAAACTAAAAGTCTAAAACTAAAAGTCGAAATCGAAAATGAATTTGGTATTTAGAATTGGGCATTTAGTCATTTAGCCATTTAGGATTGGGGTTTTGGGGATTGGGGATTGAGTCGTGTATGCAAATGAGGAGGCGTGACCCAAAGGCAGCAGGGAGGGTTTGGAAGAGCTGAGGTGCAGAGGCACTTTATGGACTGCAGGGGGAGCTCTGACTGCCAGCACACTGCCATGAAAGCAAGCAGAGGAAGTGAGCAGGGCTGGAGGGAGGACTATCATTTATAATACCATAACTTAAAGTGTACAGCATTTCTGTCCATGTGGCCTCACACACAAAGTCAACAGTGAAAGGAATGCTATCCATCTGACGAGAAAGCAGCAGACAGTACAGCAGGAAAGATATGATAACATTAGCAAGTTAGCTATTTAGGCTAACTGTTGCTGACATGCATGAGTTACGTTACTGTCAGTACATGCAGGTTTTAAATGCGTTTTTACAGTTTAGAACAGTTGTTATTTACAAAAATACATTTTAAATCTGTAAATCCAAAAGCCCTTTTCTGCTGAATTAGCATGACATTTACAGTGAAAGCAACATCTAAGTACTGTAATCGATTTTCTTCCCATTATAATTTAAAGGCATCAAATCATGTTCTATGAGTCCAATTTATGTTCATTCCCAAATATAAAATGTAAAACTGTCAAAGTATTTTTGTTGTTTGACTTTTACCAGAAATGTAAACCAGTAACACAGATTAAACATAAAAAAATGAAAAGTAAAGCTTGATATACCTTAAAAGTTAATGTACTAAAATGTTTTATGTAAAATATCCAATAATAACTTGCCTTTCCAAGAATTTATTAACCTCAGAGCAGTGAACAAAAACATATGTCATTTCTCAATATGCATTTTTGTAACATGTTCTTTACAAACGTTAGAATACAGATCTTGTGACAGATTAGTGATAATCTTACTGGAACTGAAAGAGGAAAGATGGAGAGAAAGAATAATAATAATGTATAATGTATAAAGGCATGAGGAAATACAACAGCAAAACAACAATTGCATACAAACAATTTTTCTTTCTTAAAGGGTCGTTTCACATATTTAGATGTGGTAATAACTAGTAAGTACAAAAAGTTTGAATCCATGCTGAGCTAAACTGGCTGCATTGGCTGCAACATATTCCTTCGGGGCAATTGTGCCCATCAAAATGATGTCCCCAAAAAGTGCTTCTTTTTGTCAGCTGCAGGCTCGGACTGTTACACCAGGTGTATGACAACATCATGGAAAGAATCCCTACGAGGGAGACACGCTTTGTTTTTAACAGGAAACTGAAGTCTTGCTGCAGGACAATTCTCGCTCTGAAATCTGGTGAGAGGCGAGTTGTTGCAGGAAATGCTGGTGGAAACGAGTAGTATGTTGTGTACGTAGAGGAACTTTATTTCCTAACGTTAACACAACAGACTCCTCTCCCCATATCTGATTCACGTTTCCACTAAATTAAATACTGCTTTACTGTTTTTGTTTACATTTTTTAAGTCATAATTTTACAGCACTTCACTGTTAATTCCACAGACATTTTTTACAGTGTACGTGTGATAACACAGTTCAGTGGAAAAGGGTGGTTTTGTCATTTGTTTTGCTCACTGGAATCCCTCAGCACTCAAAGACTTAATTATGTCATATACTAACCTTTACTTTCCTGAGCCAGTTTAACCGTCTGTCTGCCCTGTTAGGTTATCAATATGGCCTTATGGATTATTCAGATGACTGTGTTGGTGCTATCTGTCTTCAGCAGCAGCAGTCAGGGGAAGAGGGACAAGGTGCTCTACTGTTCTGGTAAGTCACAGGTGCATTCCCATCTGTTGGAGGGTAACAAAAGCATCATGTCCAAGCATGTTATGTACCCAGGTTAACAGGTTGCTACTTTAACTTCACATAAATAAAGGAGAGGCACACCTGCCAAAAAGGAACTGTTAGACAGTAAAAACTGGGCCACATGTTTGTCTGTAGTTCTTTACAGATCTTTACAGTTTTCAAAAAAAACTATTTAAAATCCTTAAACCTACTTTTTCACCCTATGCATTAAAAAACATAGGTTATTTTATTCTCCAAAACCATTGCTGCGACCTTGGGATGGGGAGCGCTGCCAGAACAGATTTCAGTGCTCAGTAGTGAGGAAGTGGGCAGATGATAACACAGATTCTAAAAGTTTGTGTAGTACTTTCATATTCGGTACGGTTTAACTCTATGAAAAGTCCAGTGAGAGAACTTCTGTTAGGAATTGGCGCTAAAGTTTAAAGATATTTTTTTCAATTAATTAATTGAAATTAATTAATTGTAAGCAGCTGCAGCTAAATGTGTGTTATGTGCACAGCATGTACAGCAGGACAATTAAAGCAGGAAGTAGCGCTGGAAGATCTAATGGATCTATACAAATAACGGTTTGTGTTATACCAATACATTAGTCAATATTAGCTTATCACAGATATATTGTAGCAGCGTCGGCCGATGAGTAACAATAAATTATGACAATTCTGCTAGAAAAACTGTCTTCATTCAGTAGTTGTCCACGACACGTAGATGTGAAATGTCCTGCATTTGACAGATACTCAAAAAAATGCTGACTTTATGTGTTTATGTTGTTATATAAATATTGGCCTATGTATTAGTACACTAAACATTTTTTATCCCACGTAAGCATGGTAAAGCTTCACAGAAGTCCACTGTAACCTGTGGGACTGAAGTTTTGTACCCAGAAAGAATGATGAGTAAAAATGAAATCCAGATGGTACAAAAACAGATTTCTGTCTTTGATGTGGTGCTGATGTTCACTAAATTCCTGACAGTGAGCTGCAGCTTGTCTTGTTGTCATCACTGAAGTTTGCCTGTGTTTCACAGCATGCAAGGCAATTGTGGATGAACTGAACTTCTCAATAAGTCAGGTGGACCCAAAGAAAACCATCAACGTGGGCAGCTTTAGACTCAACCCTGATGGAACTATGGAAGACAAAAAGGTCAGTACACTTATGTGCAGCTCTAGTTTAAGTATCTGCTGAACCACTATTTGGTTATAGTCATAGGTCATAGTTATCCAAGGTGTGTTCAAGTCAAGGGCAACTGGATTTGTTGTAAGATTCGCTGGTTCTTTAGGCTTCTTCAGAGGGAAATGTCTTCAAAGAAGTCCAGTTGCCCTTAATCGGAATATTCACATTTTTGGCCAAAGGTCACATAGAATTCAACTGTATTTGTAACATAGTCATTTTCACTTTGTAAATACACATCATGTGAAACAAGAGTATTTCATTATGTAGGTATTCATATGTCATTAGTTACTCAATACATTGATATCAATGAGTCTAATTTATCGCTAATTTTGGTTACTATGAGCAATAATTAGCTATACTTACTGCAGTTACTGTGGATCAGACTCAGAATCAGATATACTTTGATGATCCCTCTGTTGCCATTATCATCCAACAAATGATTTAAAATGTGTAGAATTCTAGTGATCTGTTTGGCCGGAGAGTGTGCTGGGGCATTGTCTTTATGAAGTTCAAAATGAATACTCATACCTTGAAGGTCTCTGGTTTCAGCTCCTACTAGGCTATAGCTTTTCCACTTTGTCGCCGTCATCAAGTCAACCTTGGTGAGATTACACCAGGTTTGCAGTGACGGTGGTGTGAGTGGGACAGTCCACTGTGACCTTTGTGGTTTGTGCGTTATTTTTCTGCAATCGTATGGCTCGTTGTGAGTTATCCGTTAGATAAGCACCTACATTTCAGAACACTGTTTAGAGAGTCGCTCCACCAGTTGTATATGTCAAAATCAATTTACTTGTCCCGAGGACAAGTCTGTCCAGTCTGTGAAAACAGTCGTATGATGTCTTCTGTGAAATCTGTGAAATTCATAGTGATGTCATTTCTCAGCTTGGGATTGGAGACCACATATTAATAAGAGAAAACCTGTGTTCCAAACTGGATCTGTGGAGTCTGAAAGATGTGGGTGTTTAACAGGCAGAGAGGATCTAATGAAAGATGCCATCTAGTTGCATTATGGGAAATGTCTAATCCAGTGTTATCATTTGACCGATGCTAGGGACACAGTAGTACAGTAGTAAAGAAAAAGCACTGATTTCTGATATTTTTCAACATTGTTTATAAAAGCAGTTATTTGATCAGCTTTAAAAGTAGCCACCCTCTTGCTGGTTTTACTCTTAAGCAAATTTAATAACATTTTCCTTGTTATTGTATTCTATGAATATCTAACATATTGTATTATATCAATGGGGTACAGTTAAGTATTCCAGTCATTTGAACACCTCTCAGTTTTTCTGCACACACTGGGCTTGCTTGACATAGACGCTGTGGTTGTCCGAGAGGCTGTAGTCAGTGATGTATCGCGGCAGTCCTTACTCCTCACAGTAGATTGATCTCTGGTGTTGCTGTGGCTGTGTGCACGACACTGTGTGAACACTGTGAGACTATGGATCCAGGTTATTGTCCCTGGTCTAATGAGGTCACGTCCCACTGGAACCTGGACATCCTCTATTGCCCAGAGACCATGCTATCATGAGGTGCCCAGCTCTGCTATTGATTTCTTGGGCTTTAATCCCTGTTTAGACTTTACTAGTAGGTGCGCTGATTGGTGCGTGCTGGACGCTAACACATATCAAAGGGCTAACATCAAGATGTATTATGTATTATCTGTGAAATTAAACTGATTTTCCGAATTATCAGTACACAGTAAAATGTGCCAAATGTTCGGTGAGCATTCCTATGGAAGCCCACTGTTCACTGTTCATGCATAATGATGTTTTGACCCATCAGTAGGTCCTGCAGTGGGTATCAGGCTTTACTGTCCTATGTCTACTGACAGACGACACCATTCTCTAGCCCTGACCTAACTTACCTTTAAACTGCTTTCAACATATACATCCAAGCATGGTGGAGGGCTTCACCCAGCCTTACGGCTGCTGAGGCTTAACTAACGTGACTGCTTCAAATGTTGTGATAGACAGCGTCATCTTAATGCAGTGGCCCACTCGCTTGTCCAACAACCATCACTGTTCATCCAGTTACACTAGATATAATGTTTTTTGGCTTGTTTCAGCAAAGAAAAGAACATGTTCCAATATGAACCAGTATGTGAGTGTAAAAGTTAAACACCTGTGAAAACTAGGGCTGAACGATTTTGGAAAATAATCTAATTGCCATTTTTTTAACCAATATTGCGATTTGATATGTGATTAATTTTTAAGCTCATTACCTTCTGTATTATTCAAAACGGACAAGCAGTAAATCAGTGTATAGTATGACCAACACATAATTAGATAGATTAAACACACACTGTTCTTTCTTGTGGGTCAGGCCTGTGTTATGATGAAATTAGCTGATGCATGAATTGTTTGAATTATTATTATGAGCAAGGGTGGAGAAGAAATATCAAATTATAATAATATGAGAAAGATAATTTGAGAGTAAAGTCATGGCATTAAATAATATGATCTAATATCATCAGGTCGGCCTACAGACCACAAGAAAAACACAGTTCACCACAGTGTATTATAAGCGCTCAATACAAAACCCACAGTTCAACCACCAATTAATCCTTATCTTAGTTCAAATGTCCACAAGAGTCCATCTCTCAACAAAAACCTACTTTTTTATATCCCTGTAAGCAAACAAACAAAAAAAAAAAAAATCAGTTTGAGGTTGAGTTCAAAAGTTGGCAAAGGAAGCCTCCGATGCTGGTAAGCAGTACACTGGCTGTACCTCGGGACAGACTGAGCCTCTTTCGGACTTGTGTGTTTGGTTTGAAACGCCGTTTCACAGATAATTTCTGAGCTGACTGTTGGCTGTGTGTGTGACGCTGGCGCGATCGTCACAATACGCTCACCGTACTACACGTGTCATTCTGTTGTTTCTGTTTCCTGTCCGCCAAAGTGGCTGATGGCCCGACGATTTCACCCACCACCACCAAGTGTGTGATACTAAAGTTTCTGTAGTGTCAGCTTCTGTCAATCTGAAGGCCATTGTACAACAACAAGTCAAGGTACAGCGTAACGTGTGAAGTTGATGCTTCCTCTGCAGACTACTTTACTCTCGGGTGTCATGTGACCAGAGCGTAATCGCAGCCTTTGCGATTAGAAAACTTTTTGCAATAATATCGCAAATGTAATTCATCATTCCGCCCTAGTGAAAACAAAATTTAAATAAAATAATAAATAAACAGTAAGCGTGTGTGTGTTTAAAAGACACACACACACACACACACACTTACTGTTTTATTTATTTATTTTAGTTAAATTTTTAATATATTTAAATTTTTCTAACACACCCACAAACACACACACACTTTAATTACTTGTTTAATGAAATGTATGGGGTTGATTGTTCTTATGTAGTTTGTATGATGCTTTGGCAATATTGTTGTTACACATTCATGCCAATAAAGCTAATTTGAATTTGTATGTGTGTGCGTGTGATTTCTAAAGAAAAAGCCAGGGATTTGAGTAAACCCACAGGCAGAGGGTAGGCTGACATGCTTGCTATATTGGTGCTTATGTAATGATATATTAAAAAATGAAACTGCTCTATAGGGTAAATCCACGTCAGCACACAGCTCATGTCAGTGGTCCCTTTTGTTGCTTAGTGTGTATAACTGACCACACAACTTCGACCTCCATACTTGCAGCAGCTATAATATACTGAAAACAGAAAATGTTCGTGGAGTGTCCATAAGAAGCAGAAGCATACGTTTTAATAGAATACCTCATTGTTATGTCTGTGCTGTACTCTTATTATAATATTATTTATAATACCATTCATTAATATAGAATTGACCATCGTCGTGAACTTGGCAACTTAAACCTTCCTCCGTGATTTTTCCAAAAAATCTAATTTCTTTATATTTGGTTTAAGATGTCTTCTCTCTGATGGACAGACCCTGATTTCTTTATTTAACAGGGGAGATTTTTTTGCTCAAGTGCATTACTATAACCCAGATTTCTCTTTCTGGTGAAAACAGATTTGGGTTATCGTGCTATAGCCACCAGGCCAGGATAGTGTGGGTCCTCCAGAGATCAGCTCCTCCTCTGCCCTTAGCTGACACTAACCTCCACCTGTTGCATTGTTTGGTCAATCAAATATAACTGATCCACAGAAGAAGCCAAACCTTGATCCCGTGCCCTCCTTTTCATCAGCTTTTGACCCAGTGTGAATTAGAGAGGGAGGGATGTCACAGCTTAGATGGCATCAGTGAGGAGGATTTGCAGGTTTTAAGTCCCTGCTCCTTGGCCTCCTCACAGTAGGACTTCCTGGGTGCATGGGGCTGCTCCGTGGCACAAAAGTTAAACCTGCCTGCTGCAACAATGGCACATTTACAGCCTCCGAAGACATTGAACTTAGTTGGAGCAGCAAGCTCATCTCATAGTTACCGGTGGGAAGTCATGCATTGAGAATGAGAAATTGCACAATGGCACGCTGACACAGTGACACATAATATTATGGCCCAGAAATGTGACTGAGCGAGGTGACATGCGGTTTACTGATTATTTTTAAATCTAAAGAGGTTTCTAAATGAATAGTTAAGTCAGAGCTGGAACAGGATGTGGTTAGTCTAGCTGAACATAAAGATTGGAAGCAGGTGGAACTGCTACCCTAGCTGTTTATGGAATATTTATAATTTTATTAGACAGGTGAAAGTAGAGACAGTCAAGAAAAATGGCTTTAAGGAGAGTTATGTGCTGGAACAGTATCAACCACTGTACACCCTCCAAAGTTCAAAAACCAACATGCTGGAACAATTTCTTGATGAGCAACAGTGTATATCCACCTAGTATCTGGCTAAAGTCCAGGTTGCCGTATACGGTTTGGTGAGTTCAGGTTTTGGTTTTGGTCCCAAAACCAAGCTGCTGTTACATCTCAGTTTGTGAACAGATTAAACAAAAGAGACACAGTATGTTAATCTGTGAGCTTTTGGTGTGTTAATAGGTGGAATATTGAACTTTGAAGGGTGCACAGAGGATCACACTATTCCTTGAGATCCCTATGCCCAGCAACAAGGAAATGATCCCTCACTGACTTCCCACTGAGTAATACTTCCAGCATATAAGTCCCTATAAAACTACTTGTCTTTGACTAACCACGTCCACACCCTGGATTGATATTGATCTTCTTATCGTAAAAAAGCAACTAAGCTTATTTCTCAAACTGCTGCCTTATTGCCTTTAAGCACTGTGCCAGGCCTCACCAGCTGTAGGCTGTGCCATTTAATGCCATTCTATGGATGAATGTCATTTTCAGTCTGCTTCAGTATTGCTCTCTTGTCATAATGAAGTGATTTTATCATCAAACCTTTGTCATGGAGAGTCTTATTCTTGAGTCCATGTTTAAAATGGCATATTGGTCAAAATTCTCCTTTCACTCCATGCTTTGATGACATTATTATTATTATTATTATTATTATAAATGTATAGGCCTTCATTGGCCCATATCACCAGGACAATGGAATTGAAAGCCCCCTGTCCACAGCAGTGCAATAATGCCTCCCTGTCCAATGGGAATTGAATGGAGGATAGCATCCCTGAGAAGCCTATTCTCTGGCCCAACTGGTCGCTTCCCCCCACCTCAACCACCACCCCCCCACCCCATTCTTCAAACAACGCTGTGACTGACAGCTCCCTTTCACAAGGCTCCGACTGGCAAGGAAGGGGTTTAATTCCAAACCATTTTGTAGCATGGCATGATAATGACTCAGACCCAAGCCCGGGTTGAGATGGACCGACGTGGTTTTGTTGTTGAGTTAGGGGGAGAGGAGGTTTTTTAAAAAATTTATGGGGTTTGAATGAGATTGAGGATTTAGTTCAGTTTTATTAAATTCACATATATGATAATTTGATCTGTATATTAAGCAAAAGGAGGACACTTGTACTTTCTACCTCGCTACAGTGATGTATAAAACATGTCCAACACTATATGTACTTCAAATTAGATTAGCTTGGTCAGCTACAATGATAATAATAGAATAGCTCATTTGCAAGTATAAATGTATTCTGGAGGCTGTAGTCATACCCACCATAATAACTGAAGAAGCATATTGATATTGATATATTACACAAAACCTTCTACCTAGGTCTTCCAAAACCAAAAAATGTATAAACCAAATGAAACAAACAGTTTTAGATAGAACATCATGGGGTCAATTATAACCTTGAATTTGAAAGTTCATTCTTGGCCAAGGAAATCGTAGTAAAACAAAATCAACTTTTTAATGATAATATTTTGAGAATAAATACAACATTAATAATGGCTACTGAGCCATCTCCAGGACAAATGAGTAAACTCCATCTGCTAGTTGAAAGCTTCAGTAAGCAAAAGCTAGTAAGCAGATGTTGAGTAAAAATCACTCTTTGTATGTAATGTTTGTAGAGCTGTGGAGATTGATCGATCACCAGAAAATGGATCACCAAAAGTTTTGGCTTCAGTTTTTGTGCAGAAATGATTTGCTGGTTCTTGGACTGTTGGTTGGACAGTACAAGACATTTAAATATGTCAACTTGGGCTCTGGATATTTTTTTAGACCAACTGATTGAATGATTGACTGACATAGTCATAAATTTCACTCTGACTGGGCAAAATGTTGCCACTGGTGTTAAAGGAATCACAGGCTGATTTTGATTGATAGGTGAACCTCATCGTCATTAGCCTGTGTGACCTCCAACCTTTGGCCCCGTGCTGTAACACATTCTGTTGAGCGGCCAACTTCCTTCCTCCTTGGCACAACAGTGTTGTCAAGCTCAAGGGATCTTCTGCTGAGTGAATCAGAAGTTAAAAAGGCTGGGTCGACCTTAAAGACAGAGGGATTAGTGATTGGTTGAATTTTTTTTTGGTGCAAAGAAGTTATTTGTTAAGCAGAGGAAGAGGCCGAAAAACCGAGAACGCAATGGAAGGATTTGGTGGAAAACAGATGGCAGAGAGGCCCTTTGTCACTCTGTGACATCTCGAAAAGTGTGTGTGTGTGTGTGTGTGTGTGTGTGTGTGCGTGCTTTTAATGTAATCAATGAGTGTGTGAGGCTTGCCCGGAAGGGCACACAGCCAATTTTGAATAGAGACAAATCTAAATGCTCTGTATTTGTATAGCGCCTTTCTAATCTTTGCGACCACTCAAAGCACTTTTACACTACATCACATTCACCGATTCACACACAGAGCCTAAGTGCTCAAACAGAAACTAACATTCACACACTGATGGAACAGCCATCGAAGGCAATTCAGGGTTCCGTATCTTGCCCAAGGACACTTCGACATGCAGCCTGGAGGATCTTCTGATTAATGGGTACCTCCTGAGACACAGCCACCCACAAGTATATCTACATTGTTACGAAATCCAGTTCATTTGCAAGATGCCCTCCAACTCTCCCCTCTTCCTCTCTGTGCCGTATCCCTCAGCCCTCCCCCCGCCACACTGCCACCTTTTGACCAAAGAAGACAAGGAAGATTTCCTCCTTTGATCATTGGAGGGTGGACGGGGGATGAATGGGCCAGCAGAGACAGTGCAGGGCGAGGAGATGCACCCTGCACTTGGCTTCTGTTCAGGCCTACTGCTTCTCCCACTGACGCCACCCCACTTAGGAAACCAACCTCTTCCTTTGGCTTATTCCAGCCCACTTGGAGGTGTAAAGACTCCCCACCCCCATCCCCCTGCACTTTTCATCACTTTGTCCTCGCCCCCTCACCCCCTGGGCGTCACCCCTGTCACCCGATCTCCTTCCGGGGATGGTGGGAGGAGGGCGCTGCACCTGTCTTGACCCGTCTAGACACCACCGCCTCACTGTTTTGTCCCGAAAGGGCGGGGAGGGGCACGGTGGAGTTTGGATGGAGAGGTGGGGAGGGTGTGCACGCAGGTTAAAAGTCAGAGTTGGAGGGTGAGGTTTGTTAGTGAGGATGGAGAAAACAGAGCGGAAACTAGAGGTCACCCTGCTGACCTGCACCTCTGTCCTTTGGTGTAACAGAGCTGACACTGGGGCAACCCCGACTCTGAGGAGGATGCTTTAGAAAGAGCTAACTGTTTGTGTAGTTTGGTTGCCAGGGCAGTGACCCAAGTGGCATCTCAGATTTTTTCAAACATATACTGGCTGTGTGTCTATGAGACATGTGTTTGAGTTAGAATAAGAAACATTGGCAAAATAAGTGGAATGTCATATGACAAAAGATTCGGGTCAGGCCACAGTCCAGGATGTCTGCAAAGTAAGGCCACCAAACAGCTTCTCCTCCTCTCCCTCGGTTTTGTGGCCAGGTACCTCTCGCTCGCTCAGAGACTCACCTTCACGAGCTCCTGGACGGGGTGTGCAACAGCATGAGCGACTACTCCCTCCATGTGGACCCCGACACCCAGCACAAACAGTACATGAGGTTTGCACCCAGGAGCAGCGAGACCACCGGCAACTTCCCTGACTTTAAAAACTTCCAGTTTGATGGACCCGAGGCATCCAGTGCCCTGAAATTCGCAGTGAGTGCAAAATATAATAATAATGTAGAATATACTGTATTTGTGATAGAAATGTAATCTGTAGTCATAACTGTGGACTCATCTAGGGACATTTGCAGACCATAGTCAGACATTAGGAAACATCTGTAGCATTGTCCAATCAAAAGCAATCAACTGTGTACTGTAAAATATTAAATATAACAGTTGCAGGAGGCCAAACAATTTAATATACTCAACTACCAATTCTTTGTGTGTGTGCGTACATACGTTATCTGTGTGTATAAATATATACATAAATATTTTTAGCACAAACTCAGCTTTTAATTTATGTCAGTTTTTTACTAAATAAATATTATACCAACACATATTTAAGAAATTAGAACTCAGAAAATTAGAAAACTTAAATCTAACTTTTTATTTCCATGTCTCTGGGAGCCTTTACTGCCTGTAGTTTTAGTGCCTTCTTTTTTCTTTAAGTGGCTTGTCAAACTGCACACCCAGTGGCACATCACGCTCCTGACGTGTCAAACCTTTGGCAAATTTCAGGTCAGATGTGTCAACATGAACCTCCTTCACTCTGGAATCTAAATGTGTCAGATTTTAGTGAGCTGGTTTTGTCAGTTGGTTCAGTCAAAAGTTCCACCGGCAGTTAGTAGATATAAATATTTAATACCAGCTAATCTCTACTAGTTTGAATTTAGTGATGTGTAAATGTAACTAGGCTATGAATGAACTGCTGGGGCAGCTGCTAGCTTTGCCACATTATGCCATGTATGTCATGTGACTAAAGCATTGGCAGTGATTATAGTTAACCAAACAAAAAAATTGGGATTATGTTTCCAGTTTCAATATAACTTTCACATGTTACAATAACTAATCCAAAGACTTTCACATTTAGAAAAACTGGAATACAATGTGTGTTTTGTGCATTGTTGCTGATCAAGTCTTATTTATCTTGTATTTGTCCTGTATGTGGCATGGTCAATATAGAATATAGTATAATATATTGTGTAAAACATTTGCCGTCTATATGGCCACGTCTCCCTTGAAAAAGAGGTTTGGACTTGAGTAGGACTTGCCTCTTTAAATAAAAATAGTAAACTAATTTTATGGTCTCATTAGGGTTGCTTGTTTGTCATGCTGTACGCCTTGTGGACCTGGTTATTGCAGAATGACGTGAAAGTTGCAGTGTTTCAAAGCCCAATCAAATGTAAATGATCATGAACGCTCCTGAGCTAGCTTCAAAAAGGGAGCTCCCTGTGCTTTTCATCAGGGTTCAGGATTCAACTGGACCCTGCTCCTCACTTCATTTAATACACTGAAGCTAAAATTCACATCACGGGTCCTTTTTGCTTTTACACATTGCTTGTCAAGTCGGTGCTTTCTTGAGATAAAAAGAATCACTGCAGGACTACCTGTTAAAATTGACGAAACAAAAATCCAATTGGAACTAGCACTGCAGGCTGAAGTAAATTACAAGCGCTTGGTGAATCTGAGGAGATGTGGCTTAGCAGTGTGACCAGCGAGTTGTCAAAATGGCTGAACAGTTTGGCTAACAGTGGGGAAACATGGCCACAGCGTGCAAACGGCGTGCTCACCATTGTGCGAAGACTCACAGTGTGTGAGTGTGTGTGTTGCGTATGCATGGCCGAGCCGCCTCAGCTCACGTCTTTCTTCTGCTCTTGTGTTTTTCTCTCAGTGTGAAACCGTGGTGGAGGAGCTGGAGGATGATATCATCTCCCTGTTCAGCCAGGACGTAAAGCATGTGCACGAGGAGTTATGCAACAGAGTCTCAGGTACCACAGCTTCTTCACACATTCTCTAACACAGATATAATGCAGCAGCCTCCCCACGAAAGATATCACATTAAGTGGAATCAATTAGAGACATTTTTGAAAAAACTGGAGAAATTGATGGAGAATTTAGCTGAATGGCTTAACCAGAGATTGTTTATATCAATAACAGTGATAAATGACCTCAGGTGCTTTGTTTTAGAAAAAGACAAGTCTTGGCTTGTCATGCCCATCCCTACTTTCATCTAATTCATTGCATTTTTCCCTTTACTACGACTTCCAAAGATCACATTGTGAAATCTTTTTTCCCTGTTGGGTCTGGCTTCTACGGACTTATGTAACAGCAGAGGTGGGAGAGAGTCTGAATGAGCTGAAGGCCACTGCTAGCTCATGATGTACGTTTTGATGTATGTTTTTAGCAAGGTTTATTTCAAAGGACAGTGCCATTAGAATTAGACATCATTACAGCATACCAACTTCACCACAAACTCACAGTCTGGACGCAAAACCAAACGTGATCATGATAACCTCCTCCAACTACAAATTAAATCTTAGTTTTTTGTGTCCTAAGTCAACTAAACACAATTCCATGTATGCACATGTTAACTAACCTCAACACACTTGCTCATATTTTTGTCTTTCTGTTTTTGATTTCAGACTACTGTAAAGACAGCAGTCACACAAACCAGGAGTTATAATGGTGTTTATATTTTCTGTCACCCAAGGTGAGACCAGCTATGGCGCAGAGATTACAAAAAGAGACCTTTAACAATATCCGTTTTTGGCAAATAATTGACAGACTTTTGAAATTAATAAAAGTAGAAATCTTGATAAAAACCATGTTGTGCACATCAGTTTTTGTGTGAGGCTTTTACTCGCGGCTTCTGCATGCTCTCTGATGTCAGACCATAATATTGTGTTGTCAGCTGCTGGCTCTTATTGGTTTTCTGAACAGCGCCTGCTTCTTCTAGGGCTGACTAATCATAATCAGGCCTACAAACTGCACACGGTAATGAAGTCATGGCTATGTTTCTATTATGTTTGCCTGCTACCTGTGAATGTATATCTCTGAGCTGCAGGAAAAATAGAAATTCTACATAGTGCTGCAACAATTAGTAAACTAATCAAATTATCAAGCAAAAAATGTCCCAACATTTGCTGCTTCTTCTGTTTTTATATATCGCAGTGAAATAAATATCTTTGGGCTTTGGACTGGAAATTGTGAAATGTGTGCATGTTTCATTATGATATGACTAAACAAGGAAACAATTCAGTAAAATAAAAAATAAAGCAAAGAATTGATAATAGAACTAATCTTTATTTGCCCTAATTCTACACAATAATTATAAAAGTGTGTTTAGGTCACACCAATTTGTGTTACACTAATTGCTTATAAATCTAGTGATATAGTTGTTGGTCATGTAAGGTCAGAGCAGCATTTCTGGATCCAAAATTATAAGTTCTTTGTGGCAAAATGTGGAAAAACCAGAAGGTTAAATGCGATCTGTGTTGTGCTGAGCTTTAATATGAGCTGCAGCTGTATGTGAACACACAGATTTCAAATAGACAAGTGTCTTCTCTTACAAACCAGCAGGTGTACAGACTGGAGCAAACATTGAAGAACCCATTGTCTGATTGGACCAGATACAGCAGCAGCTGGTTGGTGATTGGCCAGAACACTGTGCATTGAAATGCTAAAGACTGCCCATCCACAGGGGAATCATGTTTGGTGGCATAGACTGCATCATACTGAAGCTCCTCTCAGTTTACTCAAATAATAATGAAACATTTCTGTGACTAGGGCGAGTTTAATAGGTTGATGTTGCAATAAAAAGATCAGGTCAAGATCAGTGGGAACATGTTTTGAATTGAGGGGGTAGGTATTGAGGTCACTTTTTCCTGAGGTACAACCTTCATCACCTCTGAGCAGCCAAACTAACTCCCTGTGGCTGCTGTGGGTAGATGTGTGCATTCGAAAACGATTCACTTGAACAAATAATCAGTGATGGTCTGTACAACGCACCCAACGTTGGTGGTCTGTAGATGTTCAAATTTGGGCAAAATGATTTCTTTCTCTTGTGTAAATGTACTTTATTTTGACATTGGTGAAGCCTACATAAGGATTACAGGAGACCATACCCCTGACTTCTGTCATACAGACAGTAGTTACAGCAGACACCGCTTGACCATTTTAGCACTGTCCTCCGTATTTGTTTTTCTGTGTGAATACCAGTGGGCGGGGTCAAAGAGACACACGTATGAGGTGCTCTCTATACACAGTGCTGCTGCTGCTTGTTTTTTTGTGGCACTTGAGATAACACTGGTGTATTGCTTCCATTACAGTCAGGAACATAAATCATTCCTTCTGGGTTCTCACCGCGATTTTTAGGATAATTGTGGCCGAGAATGACTCAGAATGGATTTGCAGCAGCTTTTCTATAAAATCCAAAATTACAATTCAGGTGCCAGGAAGTATAGATGGCAAACCAGACACAGACATCAAAGCTGGGCAAAGGCTTCACTTTGTGTTGAAACATGGTGGGGACATAAGGGCTCAGATTAGGGGGGTGATGATACACCTGGGTCACTAGACGTGACGATGCACAGGATCGAGACGAGGAGATTTTTAATGCTATTTTGAAGAAATATGAAATGGAGAAATAGCGGGGGTCCTGGGGGTCCTCCCCACTTCCTGCATTCTGGAGACATTTTCTGCTTCAATTTACAGTGGAAATGTCTTTATTTATATAAAGGGAAACAAGAATTTCAGCTAGAAGGTGACAATTCATAAATATAAAATATAACAGAATATAACACAGTAATCAGTAGCTTGTTTTTTACCTTTTGTCCTTTTGGACAATGTACACCTGTTTTCTTCTATATGTAAATTGCATTGCATTTTTTCTTATTGTGCAAATAAACCTTTCTAAATACATTTTTAACAATGCTTTCAAAAAGTGATGGGGACAAAATCAGCCATTTCAAAATGTGGTGGGGACTTGTCCCCAGCGTCTCCAGTGTAAATGACACCTATGAAGCTGGGTACACTCCGCCTGATAACACAATGTTGATTTTTGTGTTTTCACTGGATTTGTAGACAAACCTAGAATAACACCAGACATATCTTTTAAGTTTCACATGCAGGTACTTCCATCAAACACATATTGCTTCTCATTCTCACTCAAGGTTATGGCTATTGATCACCATTAGCAGGTTGGAAAATAGGGATAAATAGTTAGTTGGCACAAAAAACAGCAAAAAATCACAATCAGAAAAAGAGAAGTTAGTCGTCCTTCTTCCTTCCTGCTTTTTGGGTGGACCAACCAAGAAATCAAACCTTACAAACAACTCAAACCAGATGGCAGCATTTATTAAAGCTGCAAGAAGCGTTGGGTGGGCCCTCGCGCCACATGATGTGGCTGTGGCACAGAGGCAAGGAAGTTGCGATTCTGAATTATTGCGCGTTTTGGACAGGTCACGAACGAGTAAATGGTCACTTTCGGTGTCCTTTTTATCACTTAGGGCTTACCTCCTGTTACCAGTAGGTGGCGCTATGACACTGAGTGAATATTTCATGTAGATGTGTTCAGGGTGTGACCCTTATCAAAAGTGTGAAATTTGGTAGAGATACAAGCATGTACAGAGAAGTTACAACAACTTCCTGTTTCATGGCGGAGCATCAAACTTTGACGCCACACTGGACACATTGTTACTTGAAAATTCACAGTCTTCACAACAGAGCATCATCAATGTCTTAAGGCTTGTCTGAGACTGTTCTGAAATAGGTGTAGCCAATATCTTAGGAGTAGTACATAACAGCGTGAAACTTGACACTTGTGTGACGTGTTCAGGGCATGACTCTCATCCTACATGTAAATATTTGTACAGATCAGAGCATGTACACTGAAGTTATAATAGCTTCCTGTTTATGGCGAATCGCCTATTTTTGATGCCACGGACACGCCCATCAACGAAAACTCAAAGATAGCTCTACTTTTCATCGTCAATGCCTTTAGAACACACAGTAGAAATTTGAAGTCGATCCAATCAGTTCCCTAGTAGGAGTTTGTGAAAGTACGGACCCTGTAAAAGGCCATAAATGAGCTGAAAATGCGTATTCAAATCAAAATGGCGGACCTCCTGTTGGGTTTAGGGTATGACTCCATGGCTTTTTTGTATATTACATGTACCACAAAACTTTTGTGCATCTTGGTGGTTCAGTGTGCAGGGGCTGCATCATTGAAGGGACACTTCCTGACACCAGCAGCTGGCGCTGAGTTTGAGTGAATTTTGTCCTTTAGATGTTTTCAGGGTTTCTCAAAGAAACGAAGTTTGGTATTGATATGAGTATGAGTAGCAACTTTCTTGGGGTGCGTTTCCCAAAAGCATCGTTGCTAACTATGGTAGCAACTTCTTTTGTTGGAACTATGCAGTTATGACGCAACTGTTTTCCAAAACCCTAGTTCGAACTATGGAGGTAACTAAGTTGGTAACTTACATGGTACGAACCATCGTTAAGCGACGCAGGTGTTCCCCAAAACCATAGTTCCAACAAACGTTCGCACCAACTGTTGTTAAGTTGCATAGTAAGAAACTACAGCTACTGACCTGTGGTTAGAAGCTCAGTTCATGCTATGACAATACTGTATCGATACACGGATGCCAAGTATCAATATTTTAGTATATAAATTGCAGATGGGAGTTTTAACTTTTTGGTGCTAGAATAATAAAATCTATTGCTTTTTTAGTCCACTAGAAAACTTAACAGGACCATATAGAGGACTGAAAAAGTGATATGAACAAACAGAGAAATGTCTGTTTAGATCTTTTTAGATAAACAGATGTTGACAAAGTTTGACTTTAGGGACCTAATTGGAAGTTAGAAAAAGGTAATAAATTGCAATATATCTCAATATATTTAAAATCGCAATAAAATCGAATCGCAACATAAATATCGTGATAATATCTTATCGTGGGGCCTCTGGTGATTCCCACCCCTAATAAATAGAGAACTCAGGATTAGAACCCATGTCTGTTTCAATAGAGAACATTCACAAGTTCAGCCACTTATTGCACTGAGCTATTCTCAAGACCTTGAGATTGTTTGCGGCCAAGGGATTTATAATTGTGTTAAAGTGTTGAAATGAAGATACTTGCAGATTAAACATATTTACTAAATGTTTTGTAATTGCTAATAGTTCTTAATTTTTTCTTCTAAAATGTTGCTATTGCTATAAAAAAGTTAGGCTATAGCCTTTATTTAGGCTAAATAAAATGATTAGGTTATATTATTTATATTGTTGATTTTCTTGTTATTACCGATATACGACTATAATATGAAAAGCCTAAATAATAAGTTAGTATAATAATGTCACTTAATATTGATCACAACTGACGTATTTAGGAAGATAATAATGTTTTGTGAGTTTCCTGCTGTGAAAAACAGACAAACACTTATGGAAACATGTTAGCTCGAACTATGTGGAACATGGTTCAAACTAAGTTCAAACCACGGTGGTACCAACAATGTACCACAGTTTTGGGAAACGGTCGTACTTCAGATGTTGGTTAGATGCATCGTACCAAGATAGTTCAATGCTACTTTCCGTGGTTGTATGGGAAATGCACCCTTGGTTGGAACTACGCAGTTGTGATGAACTATGGAAGTAACTACGTTGGTAACTTACATGTAACAAACCATCGTTAAGCTATGCATGGTGTTCCCCAAAACCATAGTTGACGAACGTTCGCAACCACTGTCGTTAAGTTGTACAGTTCGAACTACCTGTGGTTAGAAGCCTAGTTCATGGTGACTATGTCATAGATGGCAGAAGATGCAGTCTAAGGAGGTGGATGTAATGTGAGTAAGCAGGGAATGTTCTATAATAAATGGATTATGCTGTACAAAAATATTTAAGGTGAAGTTCTTTTAATGTAGTTGTAAAAGTACTTTTAAATGTATTTGTTGGGTCATGGGAAGGGTTGCACTGATTCAGTAGTAAGTAGTGTGGACCATCTACAAACAGCAGGTGTTTTCTCACAGATTATAATCTGTTCACAATTACTTAATAAAATATGAGTCATCCAAAGGCAAAAAGATGTAAATGCTCCGTACTTGTATAGCACCTTTCTAGTCTTTTCGACCACTCAAAGCTTTTACACTACATCTGCATTCACATTCACACACTGAGCCTAAGTGCTCAAACGGAAACTAACATT